CTAAACTTGTTTGTTTACAACAGTGCCTACAGCATGCTGGGTAACATTGTAGACTCTTCCGGTTTTGCCATGGTAACATTTGTGGGGCATTCCTTTTTGAACAGTACCCATTCCCTTGATGTCCACAGTATCACCTTTCTGGTAAATATGTGTATATGTTGCCAAAGGAACCACTCCATGTTTTCTAAAGGCCTAGAGAACATGTATGGATGCCTCTCCTCTTTCCTTTTGTGTTTGTCATTTTGGTGAATTACTGGAAGAAGTTCTGGCCCAAAGGAAGCAGTTTACCATTCACCAGCTTCATGGCTGTTCCCACTCTTTCAACCATACTGTGTTCCGAATAACAAAGATAGCAGAGTGAAGCCTCTCTCTAGATATATCAACCCCATATACAGCTCTAAACACGCTAACCTATTCCACAAGAGCAAACGGGTTTTCATGTGATTATTGACTATTTACATATTATTTATTAAAGTATTTATTCCAGTCTGCTGTCCATTTTTATTGGGTTGTCTCTTTACATTTATTTCTGGACTTCTTTGTATGTTCTAAATAAAAATCCTTTGTCACATTTATGTATTGCAAATATTTTTTCCTCTGGCTGGGACTTGCCTATTCCTTTTTTTTTTTTAATGTTATAGGCCATGTGCACTCGCCTGAGAGACAGAAAGAGGCAGGGAACAGAAAGCAAGAACTCACACCGCAGGTGGCATGACCACACCACAACCCCTTTTCCTCTATTCTTCTCTTGGGACACTCAGGGTCCAGGACTTAAACATGGTCGTCCACTTGGGAGTCCAGCGAAGTAACCATTACACCATCTGCTGGCCCTGCCTATTCACTTTTAAAGTTTCTTTTGATAAGAAGAAGTCACTTTTTTGGGAACCAGCAGTTAGCGTAATGGCTGTGTCACTGGACTCCCACGTAGTCGACCGCGGTTCGTATCCCGGACCCGGTGGCTTAAAACTCACGCCGGGGGCGTGTGCGTGTGTGCCCAAGATCCCGAGAGAAGAATGGAGAAGGGATTGCAGCATGACCATCCCCCCTGGGGGGTGATTTCTCGCTTTCTGTCTCTATGTCTCTGTCTGTCTGGCAAGCACACGTGCCCTATAGCGAAAACCTCTCCAAAAAAAGAAGTCACTTTTTCATCAAACTAACATATCAGTATTTGCTTTATATGGATACTGCTCACATGTCCTATAGAATCTCCTACTCCCAAGAAAACATTATTTAATAGGTATCATCTAATATTGCCTTCTAACATTTTAATTTTTGCTTTGATGTTTAGGTAAATGATCCATTTCAAATTGTTTTCTGTGCAGACTTTAAGAGAGGGATCAAGGTTCATTATTTTCCATACAGTTATCCCGTTGTTCCAGCACCGCTTGTTAGAAAGACATTCTTTTTCCTCAATGAATGATTAATTCCCTCTATCAAAAACTATCCTTTGCAGTGTGGGACTTTGTACTTTCCTAATTGGTCCATTTTTTTTTAGTGTTTTTTTGCCATAGGGCAAGTGTGCTTGCTGAAAAGAGACAGAGAGGGAAAGTGAGAAATCTCCCCCAGGGGGTGGCCACACGGCAGTCTCTTCTCCTACATTCTCATCCCAGGGTCTTGGGCACACATGGACACACACCTGGTGTGATTTTCAAGCTGCCAGGTCCAGGACTCAAACCACTGTTGGTCATGTGAGAATCCAGCACTATAATCATTATGCCACCTGCCGGCTCCTTTTCTAATCTGTGTTTACTTCATTCAGCACAGTACAGCCTGGGAGCCAAATCCAGCCCACTGCGTGTTTTTGTATATAAAGATTTACAGGAATGTGGCCCGGTGTCCCGTCCCATCTTGTCTGTGTCTGCCTTCTCAGACAACAGCAAAGCTGAATAGCTATGAAAAAGACCATGTGCTGTTCTCTGTCAGTCGGGAGCGGACGAGCAGGAGGTTGTTCGACAGCAGGAGCGGAGCAATGCCTAAATCAGAGGAACTTGTCTCATCAGGCTCTCCTGGCAGTGATCCTGACAGTGAGGTTGACAAGAAGTTAAAGAGGAAAAAGCTCGTTGCTCCAGAAAAGCCTGTAAAGAAGCAAAAGACTGGTGAAACTTCTAGAGCTCTGTCCTCTTCCGAACAGAGCAGCAGCAGCAGAGATGATAACATGTTTCAAACTGGGAAAATGAGATATGTCAGTGTTCGGGATTTTAAAGGGAAAGTTCTAACTGATATCAGGGAATATTGGATGGATCCAGAAGGTGAAATGAAACCAGGAAGAAAAGGTATTTCTTTAAATCCGGAGCAATGGAGCCAGCTGAAGGAACAGATTTCTGACATTGATGATGCAGTAAGAAAACTGTAACATCTGAGCCATATAAAAACCTGCGCTGTTCTAGTTGTTTTAATCTGTCTTTTTACATTGGCTTTTATTTTCTAAATGTTGTTTTCCAAGCTATTGTATATTTGGAGTGCAGAGCATTTGTAAGATGAATATTTTTTTAATGTGCATTATTAAAAATGTTCTGAGCAAAGCTAACTGTCAACTTTATTAAGGAGGATTGCTCTGTGCCCA